CATCAGCTACTCACTGCGACTCCGCCGTGCCACTGGCTCTTATATTTTAATTAAAGATGTATTTATTTATACATACAAGGACATTCAGTCTCGGAGACCAAACCCAACTTGCCAGGCGGAGCCGCCGCCCGGCCTGTGCATCGGGGCCCACACAGTCCTCGCCACGGGGGCCTGGGGGACCCGCAACCCCCTCCAGTTTGCAGCAGAGTCCTGGCCGGAGGTGCAGAGGGTGAGAGGATTCATCAGAGACAGAGTGGGAGCAGAAGAGGCAGGTCCACTGAAATCCACTGCTGAGGGGAGACAGGAGAGGTCCGCTGCGCCCCGTGGGCCAGCTCCCTGGTGGGGGATGGAACTCGTGCTGCAGTGGCGGCCGATACCTTGATAGCGCTGTGCCTTAACCTGGGCCACCAGGGAGGCCCCGCCACAGCCGTTTTAAATACACTGTTCATTTGTTCTGTATTCACCGTCTTACCATGTTTGCTGACATCCTTTTGCCCAGTGTGTCTGACCGAAGCTCCTTCTGGAGAGGGCTGTGTGCGAGGACTGTGTGGGCCCCGGTGCACAGGCCGGGCGGCGGCTCTGCCTGTCTGCAAGTTGGTTTGGCCTCTGAGACTGAATGTCCTGAGTGACCGCTCCTCTCTAACTCGGGCAGCCGCTGGCTCTGGCCCAGTGCTTGTCACACGCGTTCTGTGTGCGGGTGCCCTTGTACAGACCACAGGGAACCGGGGGCAGGGAAGGGCCAAGGCTGGCACCCCCAGCTTCTCTGCACAAGGTGAGCTCACCGTCTGGCGGAGCAGGTGGAGGCCAAAAACCCGGTCCAGGGGAGGCGGGGCCTGCCGGGTACAGAGAGCTCCTCTGATTTGACCCGCCGGGGTCACGTGGCAGGCCTGGGCTCAGTCATGCCCAGAGCAGCCTCATGCTGACAGGCTGGGGCCCGGTCCTGCCAGCAGCGCCAGGTGGGCTGGCTCCTGTTGGGACAGGTGCACCCGGGTCAGGGGTCAAGTTCCCAGAAAGGACGAGTTTAGGCCAGTGAGTGTCTGACCGTGGGCATCTTGCAGGCTGGTGCCCCCTTCCTAAGCCCCTCTACTCTTCACGATGCTTCAAAACTCACCTCCCAAGCCCATCACGGCACAAGTGTCAAAATTAGATTAACTCCGGGCGTCTGTGAGCACGGTGCTGGCTAAATTACTGGCTTGAGCTGCTGTCTCTGCTGTCGCCATGCTTCACCAGCCTACTCTATATTGGGGGCGACTCTAACTGAAGTATCAAGTAACGGCATTGACACATTTTCTTTGTCTAGCAGTAGGATTAGCTCAGATCACGTATTTCTACATCTGCTCATCCCCTCACCCTCTGGGTTTATAGGGGTGGAAGTGGGGGCGGCCCACCTAAAGAACTGGCTCCAGGAGCCCATGACTGCTCTCCTTGCCTTCCCTTGGGGAGGCTGGCAGATGCACCATGCGCCCCGTCTCCACGGGCAGCCCCCCACCCTGCTGGCCTGAATGGGGCGTCAGACAACAGCTGTCTCAGACCTTTGCTCATTTAGACCTTGTGTCCAGCCATTGATACTGTAACAGGGGGGTCCTCAGGAAAAGGGGAAGTCCCAGGTTCCCTGGCCCACCCAGAGGGAGGGTGGAGCTGAGCAGAGAAGAGAAGAGAAGGAATCTGAGGAGGAAGACAGCAGGATGGAGAGCCAGAAGGAGACCTGAGGAAGCCAGGTGAGAGAGAGCAGAGAGACATGTGAAGAAACCGTGCTTGTTTCTTGGCCCCGTGCTGGTTGAAACAGATGTGGGTGAGAGACCTGCAGGGAGGTGACTATGGCAGTGTTTATTGTGATTTTGATTTTGCTCTTTTCCTCCCAGATGTGTCTGCCCATTTCCGACCCTTTTCTGTGGGCCCCGGCCAGAAGGTTCTTTAGTCTTATGATGGGCTTTCAGGTTTTGCTTTGGGTCAATCCCTTTTGGGAGGACTTTCACCCACAAGGGGATGGGTAACTTCAGGTGTTTGATTTAGACATTATATTTTTTGTCTTCTGTATTGCACACTCATTGTATTAAAGTTCCTTTCCATGAAATCTCTTGTCTTGTCTTGATGCGGCAGATGGCAGAACCTATTTAGAGCAGGCAGGTTTGGGGGTTCGGTGGTGCCCCTCTCTCCCTGCCCTGTGACAACCGGCATCCCTGGCGCAGGGATGGCTCCCTGGACACAGCCGGTGTTCCTCTTCTCCCTTGGAAACAGCCAGAGGCCTTTCCTGGCCATTGCTTTGGAATATAAGCAAAAATAAACAGGGATCTTCCAGGGTGTGTAGATTGCTGAACATGACAACTTCTGCTTGCAGGAAGAGGCACCTGCTGTTGAGTTTTTTATGGAAACGGCAAACAGAATACCCATTGCTTTCCAGAGAGTGAGAGCAGAGGAGGGTGGGGCCGCGCCCTCCTCGCAGGTGCATGTCTGCTGTGTTCCTGGTCGCGGGGGCTGGGATTGCTCGCTTTGCGCCTTGCTCAACCCAGGCCTGGACACTGGCTCTGTTTAGGCCGTGAGTATCACCTTCCTGGAAATAGGGCCTTTGCCCCTGGAATTAAGGGCCCTCCTGGACTTATGGTGGACCCAGATGCAATGAGTGGTGCTCTTAGGAGTAAGGAGAGGGGAGTGTAAGGCACACAGACACGGGGAGAAACAGGGCAGAGGGGTGTGAGGCGGCACAGGCAGAGATTAGAGGGCTGTGGCCACATGCCCAGGATGCCTGTTCAGTGACGCTGAAAAACAGTCAACAAATTGGGAGCAATATAGTGACTCTCTGAAGAAGCTTGTTGAGAAAACCAAAGGAGAAAATTATGTGTAAAGGACTAAAACACATCTTCTCCCCTGGCTCCTCCTGCCCCCCCAACTGTTCTCTTTCACCCTTTTCCCCCTTGTCCATTATTATCATCATCAACATCATCATTATCATCATCTGAGTCTGGCTGTTTCCCTTTTCGGCTTTGGGATGCAGTGCGAGGGGCTGATTTAGGAAATTGACTGAGGAATCCGCTCGGGCCTGGGCGGACACTCTGGACTCTAAGAGTGGAAAGGTCCCTTGAAGTATGTGGGGTGGAGCCAGTTCTGAGTGTGGGTGAAGCTCACCCCTTGTCTTTGTCCACTGTGTGCAGCCTCAGCCAAGGCTGGAGACGTTCCCTGCGAGTCCCTTTATGAGCCTGTGAGCAGCTCCTTGCTCCATTCTCCAAGCGAATTTTCCAGACACTCATTCTAATAGCCATGTTTATTAAATTCCTATTTGCTCATTACGTGCCAGTTTGTTCTAAGCTTTGCACCTCGATTGACCCATTTAATTTTCATAATTTCACTTTACAACAGGTGCTTTTATTGACCCCATATTTCAGATCAGGGCGCTCAGCCACTGGGAAAGCAACTTGTGGCAGGTGCTGGCAATGAACTTGCAAAAGCAGCTTATAAGCCCAGCGCCACTGCCAGCTTCCGATGGACGCCTGCTCTGTCGGCCTCCTTTGTGGCAGGCTGCCGCGTGTGGGGGCGGGTTGCCGTGTGCAAGGTCGGACGTCCTGGGAAAAGAAGCAGGTGTGGTGGCCCTTGCCCCCACTTCTTCTTGATCTGGTGGCAGAAAGATGGCCGGTGTGGTGGGTGCCACCTTGCTGCCTTCAGGAAGTGACCTACAGAGCCGTGAGAAGCAGCCCTGACCTCACTGAGTCAGGCCCAGGCTGCGGCCACATTCCCCCAGACTTCCAGTTATTCTGGAAGTGCAGAAACCCATGGCAGGCCATCCCGCTTGAGTCTGAAACTGCAGCTCCACTGACCAGCATCTGGGCCAGGAGCGTACAGCCCCACTCAGGCCCCTGGAACTGAACTCGCCTCTGCTTCCTGCACCACAGAGCCAACCCAGAGCCCCCTGTCTCTGCAGAGGACGCACGCACAGACTCCATTGGGTGCTGCGGTGGCACAAGTGGTGTTTGACCCCGGGGGTGTCCGGTGTGATGAGGGGACAGCTCCAGCATCATTGTGCAGCCCCAAGTGACCATTGGTGTGATTTCCAGGCTAGGCAGCCTGGGGTGCTGAGCCAGCTGTCTATACTGTGAGCTGACCAGAGCCCCTGTCTCTGCAGAGGATGCGCATGCTGTATGCTGGGACCTGAAGGAATTGGGGATCAGGGTGCTGGGTCTGTAAGAGCAGAAGGCACAGAGGAGCCTGTACTGGGAGAAGAACCGGGACACCTGCCGTGGGGCTTGACAGGGAGGCAGAGGGAGGAAGGCGAGGGTCAGCCCTGTTGGGCTTTATCTTAAGAATGCGAGGGTGCTTTCGGGGGACTTAGTCTAGGAGAGACATACTCTGGATTGAGACAGAGGAGAGAGCTCACACCTCTGGCTAAGTGGCCGGCAGGAAGAGCAGGTGTGCCTGTGAGAGGTGAGAGCGGGGTGGCCCGGCAGGTGGGGCAGGAATGCCGAGGGCACAAAGCCAGAGTCCTCAGAGGAAGAGAGAAACGCACATGATGTCAGCGTTGAGAACCACCTGGGCTTGGGAGGACCCAGAGGTGCTGGGAGGCCTGGGAGAGGCTGTGGTCACCCAATTTCTTCTGTTCTGTTCTTTGTGCTGTTGACTTCCCCAACCCTGACTGTGGTGCAAAACGAAGGCTGTGGCCACGTGTTTCCAGGCTGTGAGAATAGGTAGCCCCCTGCTAAGGGAGCTGGGCTTTGGAAAACATCAAAAAGACTTCTTGACTGTGAAGAGTTGGTGTCTGCAAGCAGGATGGTGGAGGTGGTGGTGGAGGTGGGGTGTGCTGTGACCGTGACATGTGGCTCCCGGGCCGGGGAAGCGTCAGGCTGCTTCTTTCGTCCTGGATGGATCCAGAGGTTGGGAGTGTCCAGTTGTGGCCTCCGTGACCTTGCCCTTGGGACTGTTTCAAACAGCAGAACCAGGACTGGGGTGGGAGGTGGCGTGGGGCCCTGCCGGTCCCTGTGCGCCTGTCACCAAAGCCCCCGCTCTCCTCACAGGACACAGAGCTGCTGAACACGGCCATCCTCACGGGAAAGGCAGTCTCGGTGCCGGTCAAGGTCGTGGCCGTGGAGGAGGACGGGTCCGTGGTGGACGTGTCTCTGGCGGTGGAATGCAGGTCTGCAGACGAGGACGTCATCAAGGTACCCGGCTGTGGCCTGCCCCCCCTTCCCTGCCCTTTCCTGCCCACCTCCTTGCCAGCACCTTGACCTGGCCCGGCGCTCGCTCAGAGACGACTGGGCAACGTGGGGGGAGGACAGGATGACTCCCCTGAGGAGAGAGTGACTGATGGGGGCGGGTGGGGGGTGGAGGGGGTGTCAGAACTACCCACTGAGGGGGAGAGTGATAATTGGGGGCCCCTAGATCAGGAGTTGCTCCCTTCCTGGTATGGGGTCCCCGCCAGAGTCCTGAGCAGAAATTGTTTCCCTCCTTTTGGGTTGCTCCTTCTGCCCCAACTTGAGCAATCCGTTTATGAGCGTCTCAATTTTGTCAGCTCTCCACACCAGTAATATTATCTACTCATATCTTCCTAAAGCCCTCACTTGGGCAAACTTAATGCCAACTTAGCCTGGGAAAAGGAGCCTGTGCCAGCCTCAAGGGCCTGCTGCCGGATGCACACAGCAATGGGGTGCTCCGGCTTTGTAGGAGAATGGTCTGGGTGTAGAGTCAGCTTAGTAGGAGGCAGGAGCCCCAGACAGTACCCACCCCCCAAGGGGAGAAAAGTCTTTATCACATCTGGGGCTGGGGGCACAGCAATGTGAGGTGGTGGGCTGCAGCAGACAGGGGAGTGCACTGGAAGAAGGCAGCCTGCGGGGTGGACGCGTGTCCTTGTGTGGTGGGGTCAGGCCCTTCCAGGGCTGGGGCGCCTTGACCTGGAGCCTGACCCCAGCTGTTAGGTTTTCTTTAACCAGAGAAGCAGAATTGAAGAACCAGTGAGTCCTGGTGTTGGAACAGAAGAGCCGGAGGTTGTCTGACTAAACTGGCCAGGCTGGAAACCAAACGGAATTAGAACTGGTTCTAGCGAACCTGTGGGCAGAAACAACTCGGGGCTGGTTTTGGGGTGGGTTTCCGCTTAAGGGCGTTGGTTTCACTAACTTTGTGTTAATATGCATTGAAATGAATAACTATTCAATTTAAAAATGACTATTTAACTACAAGAGTCCATGCACCACCTGACTTGGGCCACAGGGTTTGGAAATCTGGGTTCTCCATTCTAAGTGGCGTATTACCACCCCACATTCAGCCATGAACCCGCTCCTGGCTTTTCTCGCGTCCTTTGCAGGGATCTGTTTGAACCACCAACTCTGGCATTTCTGACTCTTTTCCTTTGCACCCTGCTCGGCTGTTCCTCTTGCAGCAGCAGCCTCGGGGGAGACAAAACTTAGATCTTCCTGCCTTCCCTCTCCTTCAAGTCGCTCCAAGAATCCTCACCCAGGCTCGACCAGCTCACCTATTATTTCAGAGAAATGGCACATGCTGAGTGTGTCCTTCCTCACGTCCTGCGTGAGGCTCCACTTTGGAGGGGAAAGGGGACCGCAGTCTGAGGCCTTCGCGGTGGTCAGAGGAGTGGGCAGGCCATCAGGGGGGACAAGACCCCGTCCGCTGACTGTGACCCCAGGCAGCTGCACTGTGAGCCCAAGATGCTTTGGATCAAGAAATGATGTGTCTGTGAGGCCCAATTAAGCCAGAACTAATCCTCGGGAAAGCCAGACTTGGCACGGTCTCTTGTCAGGGCTTGGAATGCTAATTCCCCTCCACACAGAAGGCGGACTCACTTTAAACTCCACGCAGCCTGCCCGGGGCTCCTGGCAGACTTACCCTCCGGGGGCGGGTTGGATTAAAAAGATCTGAAGCCTTGGTAGGTGATCAAGGCTCGGGAAGACCTGAGCCTCAGACGTAGGCGTGGCTGCCAACGCTCCCTTGGGGCTCTGACAGTCCGCTAGGCGTCCCACCCCGGCGCCATCACACTGGCGGTGGGCACCTGGTGGAGCTGGGCGGATGTGACGTTGCCACAACCCCAGAGCCTGCTCAGGCCCTGTCCTGTGCTGGGGCTCTGCCCTCCTGGGGCAGTGCAAGTTGGTGGACTCCCTTATGGCCAGGTGCTAGGCTGTCCGCCCTGCCCAGATGTGTCATGCGTTTTGGGGGAGAATCACTGTTTCTTTCTCAGCTGCCCCCTTTATAGCCTCCGGTGATGGATGTTCGTTCAGTGGATGTGGCCCCATCTTCAGAGGGGCCAAAGTGTGTGGGTTGCATGCTCAGGTGCTTTGTGGGTTTTCTGGGGGGTGGGCGTCTCGGGTGCTGGGGTGTGGGGAGGGGTGAGCTGATCAGCCGCGGGCACATGTCTCTGTGTGTGTGAATATTTGTAGCTGTTGCTGTGACTCTGAGGTAACTGGGGCCTCCCAGGGCTTGGCCAGGGTGTGGCCACTGACATTCACGACCCATAGGGGTGACCCCTGTGGGGCACCTTGGGGTGCCCCAGGGAGGGCCTTGCAGGTCCCTCAAAGATCTTCACACATGGAAGCCCCATTCCCAGGGCTGTGATTTAGGTAAAAGGAGATATGTCTGGGGGGTGTGATTGTGGAGACAGACACACAAATGGCTTCTCTGATGGGCCACATGACATCTGGGGACCTGAAGACAGAAGTGATCCAGAGAGGCTGGAGGCCGGGGCAGGGGGCGGGGATGCCAAGCTTTAAGTTGACAACACTTTAAAACACTTTTAACTTAAAGGCAACAACTCACAAGAGGCTGCCTCTTAGTAGTGGCATGTGCTGTGTGGTTTTATTTAATTGACTACTATCAGGTACAACTGGCACATTCACATATAAATCTGAATTTCTAATACCATAGTCAGAAGGTTGGGTAGCCTGAGCTCCCTTGCTCCTTGCCTGACCTGGAGCTCACTGGGGCTGCCTGTCTGTCACTGCCTCTCTGTCTGTCCTTGCAGACAGCTGGGCATGTCCTGCAGCTCTGCTGGTTTCCTGCGAGGCTCAGCACAGAGAGTGGTTCTTGCCCCTGGTCTCCGTAAGAAGCGAGCGGGTGTGGACAGCTGGCCTGTCGTCTGATGAGGCCCCGTGTCCTCCGGGCAGGGGATTGTTCTGTCGTGGGTCAGGGGAGGGCAGTGCCCTCACCATCAAAGGTGTGTGGATTCAGCCTGGTGAGGAGGAGGCAGGGCTCTGGGAGGGGCAGCTCTTTCTGTCCATCCAGGGCCCTCTTCGGCTGGAGAGTGGATTTGAGCTTCTTAGAAGCCAAGAGTCCAAGTTCATAGGGACCCGCTCAAGTTCAAGGAAAGAAACAGGGGTGACCCCGCTTCACACAGGAGACACTAGCAGGTGCTGACTCTCCCTTTCTCGCTGCTCCTTTCCGGGCCTCCTCCTGCGGTCTCTGATGTGAGGGTGGCCATGTCCAGTGGAGAGTCCCTTCCAGCTTTGTCCTCGCGTCAGTGGATCGGGAGGAAGCAACAGGCCTCAGAACCACCCTTGAAAGCCCTTTCAAGCACATCTGGGCTGGGGAGTTCAGAAGATAGTTGACTTAAAACAACAACAACAACAACAACAAAACAACCCTGTGCCCTTGAGCTGTGTCCAGACTTCCTGGACATGGTAGACCAAGGCTTGGTTGAAGAGAAGGCTGGGGGGTCTGGATAAGTCAGGTCTGGGAGAGTCAAATGAGATGAATTTCCCTCTCCCTGTCTTCATGCCCTTTGGTGGACAGCCGGGCCGTGTCCAGGGCTCATTAGCACTTAGACTTGGGGTCTTGTTGTGACTGTGTGGGACAGACTCCCAGCATGGGTGTGGGGGTGGTTGGATAGAGGGGTGGCTCCCCATCTGGAGGCATCGCTGTCCCGTCTCCAGCCGTGTCTGCACTGCATCTGTACATCCCACTCCTGCTCGCAGCCGGGTGCACTCCTGTCCTCAGTGGGGGCTGTCATGGAGTCCGGGGTGCTGAGGTCCCCAAGGCTCTCCACTTCTCGGCAGAAAGAATTCGTATGGGAGCCAGTGTTGATGTTCGTATTGAAGCTCTATTGTAGCCAACAGAGACAGAGTCAGAGACAGAGAGAACAAACAGATTTCCAGGGGAAATTTGGGTCTTGAGGCTGTTAGTATATCAACTTTTTTAGTTGAACAGGCAGGGAGTTTACAGATGAGATGTGGCCAGTTTCTTTTAACAGATTGGGCAGGATGTTACGAATTGGGGCAATGAGATTGACCAGTTTAACCAAAGGGGCAAGAATTTACAAGCAAGGGTAAGAAGATTGGCCGATCTGTTTAATAAGAACCACCGGGCCCAAAGCTCCTGTTGGATAAGAGAGGAGATGTTTTTTTTTTTTTTTTTAATTTTTTTTTTTTTATTAAAAAGTTTATTTTTACATCATTTTTCACATTTTTTTTTCATTTCAATTGTAATCCCCATGGGTTTCCCATCACCAAATCACCCCTGTGCCACCACCATAGTCCTGTGCATTTCCCTCCCTTCCCCCCCCCCCCGGTTTTTGATCCCATTCCCCACTCCACCCCCACAGAATGTCTCTGGTCTATGGTTGTTCATTATTTTTGTTATTTTCTCGCCTGGTCCATTATACTCCTGCTATGAGTGAAACCATCCGGTATTTTTCTTTCTCTTTCTGGCTTATCTCACTCAGCATGATCTTTTCCAGCTCCATCCAAGTTGCTGCAAAAGACATGTGTTTCTCTTTTTTGGTTGCTGAGTAATATTCCATTGTATATATGTACCACATCTTTCTAATCCAGTCATCTACTTTTGGGCATTTGGGCTGCTTCCATGTTTTTCCAATTGTAAATAAAGCAGCAATAAACATGGGGGTACAAGTATCTTTTTCAATCAGTGTTTTTGTGTCTTTTGGGTAGATACCTAGGAGTGGGATTGCTGGGTCATAGGGAAGCTGAGAGGAGATGTTTTTATAGCTCGCGGCACCGGATGAGATAACAGGATTGCTGGGCCTGGTTCAGGACTGGGCGCTCTGGGTGGGGAGGGGCAGTGCGGCCTGAGCCCCTGTGCGCAACCCCCACCCCCCACCCCCCGGCTGGAGCAGGTTTGGCAGGTGCATGGATGCCGGAGACAGCAGCTCTGGGCAGGGCTCCCCGGCTTCTGGGAACACCCCGGGGTTGCTGTCCTTGGAGTG